CGGTTTAACTCACCGCCTGACGTCCAATTGTCGCAGAATCGCTGCTTTATAAACGTTTAACTGCACAAACATTTGCATTATATTATTGTTTGTATTGGTCTATATGTTTTGTTGTATGTTATGTATGTATCTATTTAAAATATGTATTTAAGTATTTTTATCAGTATTCTAGTACATCTAGTTGTCTATAAGACAAGAACTGTTTAGCTTCGGACTAGATGGTCTTTGTGAAATATCAACGGTTATTATCATTAATGTAATAAAATTATGCAACAACCTTCCTATAAGCTGTTCTAGATGGCAAAAGTATAGCTTTATCCTAGTCTACTAATTTACTAGAGAAATCCATGATTGTTTCACCTTTACAAGTTTTATTTTCACGACATATGTTCCTTGCTAATATCTAATCTGCCTCGAAACAAAAAATTATCTATTTAGACGTGAAAATAGAACATACATACAGTCGCTGTTCAAATATTACAAGGGATGTATGGTTGATATGTATGTATGGTTGTCAACCCTACCCGATTTATCCATCTTAATAAAACAAATTGAACAGTGGGCGTACTACTCAGAGTTCATTTTCATTTACGCACCTCATTATCCAATTGATCTTGAAATAGAATTGACACTTTTATAACGTAAAGATGTCATATCCTGTATGTAATGATAAAATTACACATTAATTAATAAACTGGATAAAGGATTATTTTCAGAAAGAGATAGGCAATTCTTAGTTGATGACTTCATTATTATTTGGAACAGATGATTGTTACAAATATAAATAACGAATTATACCTTCTTATTATCAAATTAGACTCTAAAAAGTCTGCAAAAAGTCTGCATGTGTTTTTTTTTTTTTTTTTTTTTTTTTTTTTTTTTTTTTTTTTTTTTTTTTTTTTTTTTCACGTCAGGAAAATCCATCATGGAGAACCATTCCCTTATGGATACTGCCGGACTCCTACCTGCTAAAAACCTGACGACTGTTCCTCCTCGACATAATCGCTGGCCATGGGATACGCAAGCATTCACCAAGACTGACTCGTATTTCAACCGCTTGCAGCATGCTGTGTAAGCTGTGTTTTGGTAGGTTGCAGATTTGGTTAGCGGTATCACGGGTGTTATGATAACGTGATGTCCATGATGCTATTCATGTAGGTATATCTATAGGTGACAGTTACCATATTTGGACGTTAGCATGTTTTTCATTGCAATTACCTAGAAAATTGAAATTTTTATCAACATATTACTGTACTGAACTAGTGAATTAGAAAATAATCAGCTTAAGAGAAAAGAAAAAGCAGTTATTTTATAGGCTAGTCCTGGGAGGCTAAAGTTGCTACTCTGATCTATGTTCAAAAGTCTTGTGTTCTAATCCGGCAGTCACCAAACACTTTATGAAAAATTTACCGGTAAAGATCGGTGGATATATAAAAATGAATTAGTCTTTAAGGCTTTAAATGTAAATTGTATCGTCTGCGATTCTGTGCATGTATATAGGCAAAGGTTATAACTTTCTATCTGGTGAGCCAATGATAATTATGAAGAATAGACGTGTCACCAATTTGAAAGGCACCTAACAACCTATACATAAAAATGAATTTATTTTTTCCTTTATTTTTTCTTTCTTGTTGTTTGTTATTATCAGGAGGTTTTTTAATGCATGATAATGAAATGGTTCACCGAACTGCGCTAACGGTTTACACTGGCTTGGCACCAGTGGAGGATGATAAGATGAGAGGTCAGGTCACTTGGCTCATCGTGACAAATTCACCAGGAATTTATTACGTTGGTTTCCAGGGGTAATCGCGTGTAGATCAACTGACATGGTACTTTGCTAACTATGGAGTCATCAGCCTATATAACAGTACTCTTCTACTCTCAGGAGCAGGATCTTTCAAAAAAATTTAAAAATTTTTTCGGGACATTGGATACGTTAATTGCGAATTCAATTTTCATATTATGACAGGACAAGGTCTGTCGGTTCTGCTTCTAAAGCATAAGCAAGTATTCTCGCTTGTAAAATGTAGCTACTCGGTACCATGCAATTACCAGTCATTTTCATATCGTTTTCAGCGGGAATTTAATTGTGGGCTGCCATTTTTATTGTGGTAGATTTTTTTAAAATTAAGTAGGAAGGAATATAGCATTACAGAATGTAGCAAATGAATTTAATATTCTATAAGTCATCGGACTATTAAATAATGAAAGTAATCTTTATATAAATAAACTAAATTCTAAATATGTACTTACTTCTGACCAGTATTATTTTATTATTCTACAAACCAGTCGGAATGCAGATTTAACAGAAGAAACCAAAAGAATGAGCTTAGACTGTAATAAAATGTATTTTATAAGGTTGCAATGGTAACTTGAAGTATATTGTTTTACCTATCTATAGCGGGGTTCTCAATACACCACAATATATAATTAGGTCAGAAACATTTCGAAGAAAAATAGAGAACTTCCAAAGTATTCATATACTATTGGAAATATATATTTGTATATGTAATAACATATTCTTAAAATTCGAATGGTCTATTTTTGTATAAAATTACATTATTATAATATTATAATTAAAACAATTATGACATGATTTATTAATTACAAAAAATATTAAGATCCTACTTTTTTATAAGTAGTTTCATAGCAAGAAATATACTTCAAAAGTCTTACTCTTAGATACAGTTATTTTTTTTCACGATTTGATAATTAGTACGTATTATGTAGCCGAAATATCGAGGGTTTATAAAAACATGATCATGGTATATTCCCGTTATATAAAATACTAGCTACCCGCCCCTTTTTCAGACGGATATACATGTAGGTAAACCTTCTACTTTAATAACTCTATCTATAGCCAAAAACTGCATTAAAATCCGTTACGTAGTTTAAACGTTCTAAGCGAACAGACAGCGGAAACGACTTCGTTTAATACAATGTAAAGGTTTCCAATACAAAACAGCATCTCAAGTCTTAATGTATCTACGAAAATAGCCACAGTAAATCCACGTGGTTAATTAGACGGATTAATTATTACTCTACATCGATTGAATCGATTGCATTGGAAATGAATGAGTGGGTCACTGACCCTTCCATATGTCTACTGTCTAGTCATTCACCTCTGACACACATTCCCCGAGCCCGTCAAGTTTACCCCCATTTCGTCAATGGATAAACATCGAGTTCGTTTACCTTTACAGGTGCAGGGTGTTTTTTCAAGGGAAACGATGAAGGCTGCCTTTGTTTTCACAAGGTTGTAATTATATTTCAGCCGCACTGCGTAATGAGTTTTTACAGGTCATTTGAATTCAGGAAATAATAATAATAAATATTTTAGTGGTTTTTCTGCTTCCAGACAAAAGTGGTTTCTGAAACTCTAAGATTAATAGAAAGGTGGTAGATATAGTCCCGGTTTGAATAACCAAAAGTTAATAGAAATAGAAATATTTTTTATTCAAATAACCTTAATATAAACACTGTTGAATAGTCATTTACTTATCGATTCTATCACTCATTCGGAAAGCATCACAAGAAGAAGAAGTAGAAATTGCATGTTGCTCTTTTAAAAATAATTGTTCAGCATTACAATATTAAGATTTTGTGTGAATACAAACTGCCAAAGAGCAAAATTTATAAACTTAAATAAATAATTACTTGAATGGCAAAATTAACCAGCCATAACAGATTTATCTATTACAAACAAAATATTACGTCTTACCCTTTATAGTACCATATCTTATCTGTGATAATACCTACCATTTAAGATGAAAGTATAGTGTTAATCATATAGGTGTACCTACTAGTTATAAGCCATGGGGTAGTATTCAAAATTTGTTTCTTACTTAGACAACAAATTTTCATATCTATAAGTAAGGATTAAGCACAAGCATTTAGGTACCCGTATATCAGTAAATCAAAATAAAATTGGGTAAAAATATGATTAATGACATCGGCCAAAACTAGACCAGTCAAGGGCCTTTCGTAAGCTATTTTCAGTCGCGGTAACAATTTTTTAATATTGTACAGTGTGGGCATGTAATAGGGTTGCTATTTGATTGTGAGTGGATGGTAAAGCAGATTTAGTATGAGACGACTTTCGTCGAGCGTATAATTGTCGCATATTGTATAATCTGCAATTGACGAAAATAGCCAGTAACTCCTTTTTTTTTAAACTAGCGATCCCCGCGACTTTACACGCCATGAATGAACATTTGTAGAGAGTGGTATTTATAATAATCAAAGACGAAATAAAGGTTTTATACATACATCCATAGTCGCCACCTATCATTTTATCAATAATTTAATTAACAATAGGAAATTGAGTAGTAAAATTAGTAAGAAAAATTTGCTATCTTATCCTTTTAATGTATATTTTTAATAATTATTTAACCTATATGTTGACCCACATACCTAAAACAACCTTATTCTGTAAAATTCATCCCAATACATTCAGCCGTTTTTATTTAAATATATTTTTAATCCAACATAGCACCAAAGTGATTCTACCGCTGTCTCTCAGAATAGTTTTATGGTTTTGTTAACGCTGTTACCTTCACCAGAGTGTCAATTTTTCTAATATTATAAACACGAAAGTTTTTAAGTATGAATGGATTTATGTTACTCTTTCACGCAGAAACTACTAAACGGTTTTTATGAAACTTTACAGTAGTATAGCTTATATATCAGAATAACATATAAGCTACAAATATCATGCGGGTAGAAGTTTGTCAGATATATTAATTGACATAGAAAGTTATGTTTTGGTTTAGGTCAGATTTGAATTTTTCATTAGACTTTTGTGTGCAATAAAGTATAGGCTACGACACTCAAATGTTATATCTATAATAAATATAAATAGTAATTCGATGTTCAAAATATTGAAAAATCTTAAAGAGAAATTGTCTCGTGTAAACGTAGCCTTATAAAGCCGTAATGACATCGCCATACGCAACAAACAGCGGTCAGTTTCCGCAAACGCGTTACCATGACGACCGCCTCAAAACAAACCTGTCAAATAGCACACGATTATTTTTCAATCCGGTAAAACATATGACACACTTTCCTTTATGCCATAGCTGAAAAATTATGCACCGTGACCTCCAGTGACCTTATCGGTACCAATAGATATACTTATGTTTTTAATAAATGCCCGACGCGTATTAAAGAAGATGGAATTTGGATTTGGAGATTTCCTGTACCCCAACATTGGGGGGCTGAGACAATATTTTGAACATTCTCCGACTTTAGGGTATGTGAGATATAAAAATCGAACATCTTTATTGCATATTATTTAGCTTAAATGAATAATATTTTTTTAAGTAGACTCAGAGAAATATCAAAGCAGCGTTTTTTATATTATAGTGATGGGGTGATATAGAAAAAATATATTCTTAAGTCTTGCAGTGAACAACTAGCAGTGTAAGCTGACAAATTAAATTTTTGAGATAAAATATAGATGATTTGGGCTAAAGATAAACTATTTCCTTCTGAAGCATTTTATCTTTACGACAAATCATGAATATCCGTTAAGTCGTTTAGTTAGTAGTCGGACAGACTGGACAGACTGTCCCATCTATAATATGTGTAAATATGGATCTTGGAGTATAAAGTGATATTGTATACATTTACTCTAATCTGTAATCCAATATTTATTAACGTCATTCAGAACTTCATTTTGTATAAAATTGTCTTTTACCGTAAAGATCTACAATGAACAAAATGATTATTTACACTTATGTAAACATATATTATGTAAATAATAAAAATACAAAATGGGTAACTTTTTTACAGTCCATCATCAGGATTCCACCAAATGGCTCGTATGATGGATCGAATGATGGCAGAGAGTCTTCAACCCTTCGGTTTTGCGAGGATGACCACTCGAAGGAACGGAGACAATAGAAATAGTCAGGATCCCCCTCGAGATGGTCTCCGGACGGAGAGGGGCGAAGTGAGACGGGAGAGAACGAAGCCTACCCAGCCTGATACTCATGCTGCTAATGGTACTCGGCATCCACCTACACAAGGTTTAAATACTAGAATTTTGTGGTGTTTTTCAATTAGTATTGTATAATACTAGTGTATATGTAACTAACTGATCTGACAAACATAGTTTTGCCATATAAATTTATATTGCTATTAGGTTTTTTAATAGGGATTGATGGTAGAAGGGTTTAAATTTTTGGTTGTATATACTTTTAATGGAACATCATAGAAAAATTAAATTTTGTCCATAAAATATAAAAAAAAATAAGCAATAAGCCGTTTCGAAGTATGGCATCCAACATTGTGACACGAGAATTTTATATACGTGTAGTAGATATATAATAAATTTACTTAATTAGACTCCATACTTCAACTTTCATTAATGTAGTTTAAATCTCCAACTCAAGTATGTTGAATACATCAAACACGAGGAGGAACATAGGTGGTGCCTATGGTTGAGAAGTAATAGTAGAAAATATTACATGATGTTAAGTCCACCAAATGCACTATTACCTTTTGCAAAGTTAAATAAATAATTTGTTTAAACAAAAAACAGAAAAAAAAACAATTGGCATGTGGCCAATTGTTTTTTTCAATAGAATATTAATTTCTCTGTGCTAACATTACACGATAGAGCAAAAAATGTGTAACAATATATCAGAAAAATACACACGTGTATCCATCATATTGCCTAAGTAACGCGAAGCTTTCAGTATTGGCTATTCAGACAGCAATTAAATACAGACAGCAAAAAAATTTGGATTCGTTGCATTACAATTCTTCCATATATAAATTTTACAGTGGTCAGACCAACTCAAGCAAACTCATTTCAAGAACAAACTGTAGACCAGGTGAAGCAGACAGATCCAACAACTGAAAAATGGGCGGGTACATTACGTAGAAGAGATCCGGACATCCAACCAACATTGCCTTCAATTGTTGCCCGGAAGACTTCTTCCACAACTTCATCTGTTGGAAGTGGCAGAAAATGCAGATCAGTCGAAAGAATGCCAAGATCCAGGGGAAGACAGCTAGTGCCCATCAAACCTACTATGCGAAAAGATATTCCCGGTGAAGGCATCGATATAACGATACCGGAAAAAGATGAAAAAGTCTTTGACACCGCTGGATATGAATTACATCTTGTCGAAACTCTAGAAAGAGATATATTACAGAAGAATCCAGACGTTCGTTGGAAGGATGTAATAGGTTTGGACGATGCAAAGTCAGTTCTACAAGAAGCAATGGTTTTGCCTCTTGTTATGCCTGATTATTTTAAGGTGATTTTGTTTTTCTCTTCCATTTGTTTATGATATTAAATGATAAGAGATATGACATCTTAGTCCTCTAGGCAATGCATGAGTGGTATCACTGGTGTCATTTGATAACGCGTCGTCTGTAGTGATGTTCATGGCGACGGCTACTAATAATTTCTTGCTACAGTTTTACCCGTCTATAAATCCCAAAAGGCACAATTCACAGCTTTAATATTCAGGACATCGTACTAGTTTTGTAATTACCTCACCAATCGCAGTAAGACCTACTTTAAATTAGGCATTCGCGTGAGCGATACCATCGTATGCCGTTCACTTGTTTACCCTTTCAAGTTGGCAATTACTTACACATTTTTGACATTACTTTCTTCGAGAAAATAGAACAAAATATACTTCACGAATTATTGACGTGATTACCAAAACTTCGTAAGTATATAACATTATTTTAAGATTGCTTTTCCTGTAAATTCCAATTACCTATATATAGAAGTTTGATTCAAAATTATCTAAAACAAGCTGATGAACAACGTTGTCTATATACATAATACTTAATAATAGTTTCACTTACAATGCAAGCTGGTTGGCGCCTGAAATATGTAGCTGCAACAAAGATGCGCAATTTGTTTAAAATCTACCTCGTTACAATAACTCTCTATGACGTCTTTTTAATTTTCTGTTTGTTTGTCATTGCAGGGCATCCGAAGACCTTGGAAGGGTGTACTGCTAACAGGTCCTCCGGGAACAGGGAAGACATTGTTAGCACGTGCAGTAGCGACCGAATGCAGAACCACGTTTTTTAACGTGTCATCTGCAACACTAACGTCCAAGTATAGAGGCGATTCCGAAAAGCTCGTCAGATTGTTATTTGACATGGTTTGTATTGAATATTGTTTTATAAACTTTTAATGTTTCTGAAGTAATATATCAAGCACACCTAATACATAATTTCACTACTATATCTTCCATCTATAGCAGCTGTAGTTTATAGCTGCTTGTTGCTAGAAAAACAAGTGGGATTGTTAGTCGTAAATATAACGACTCCTGCAAATAGTTTACAGCTCCACCGGACAACAATGGGAGCGAGTGCAGAGAGTACTCCAAACTCGCATTTTGGAGCAGATGAAGGCCTACTCCTCCTTGACGGATACTACTTTGACCTAAGGGCAATGTTTAGGATTTCAACACTCAGCGCAGACCGCCGTTATTTCGATTTCCGTTGATATTAAAAAAATTCTGGGTTTTGTTATTTTAAAATATTTTTGTTGTCAAATACTCTGTCAATTGTAATATAAATTTCAGGCATCCTTCTATGCGCCAAGTACAATATTTCTGGACGAAGTGGATTCTCTATGCGCGGTTCGAGGGGCCGACTCCGAGCATGAAGCCTCGCGGAGGTTCAAGGCGGAACTACTGATTCAAATGGACGGCCTTGCTGCTGCTTTGTGAGATATAAGTTACTTATAAAATTGTTTTTCGACTGTGTTAGAATATTCATGTCTTTAAAATAGTCGTCCTTCCAGTCTTGCAGGACATACAGCCCATTTAAATATGGATGTATGTAATGTACCTACTTTCGTTTTTTTCACCACCATGGTGGTAAACAAGCATACGGCTATGATGATTTGTAATAATAGGCTACTTGAGTTCTACATTACTGCATTACATTACATTTATTGCATTTTTTTAGCAATAGCGACAAGATTATAATGGTACTGGCAGCAACAAATCATCCATGGGATATAGACGAAGCATTCAGAAGAAGATTCGAAAAGAGAATTTATGTAGGACTTCCAGATGGTATGCTTTGGTGTTCAATTTATTACATAGCTATTGCATTTTATGACTATTTTGTCCGCGCAATAATTCTTACGGACAAGGAAATAAACATTATGTTTATTTCCTTTGCTGTAAGAATTTTCAAAATCTTAGTCTGTTTGAAGTTTGTAATATTTTTATTTAACGAATTCATTCAGGTTTATATACTGCTTATGAAATACCTGTAGAATGTCATATTTAAAATGTTTCCAAGAGTGTGTTTCTTCCAATGTTCTTATTGTAGAGAGCTAATTTGTTTTATCAAAATGCATCCAATGATATCAGCTAATTATAACTATAAATTTCACTTACATATAACAATTGTACCAGTTGAGTTTCTTGCCAGTTCTTCTCAACTGAAGTAGCTAACAGAACTGAACGCTAGGGTTATAAAAAAAAGGCGTGCACAAGAGGCTGAAATGTTCTATTTGATCAGATTTTGTGTCTGGGTGAAGGAAGTTTCAAAATTGTTTTGTTTATATTGTAAAAGGAGTTAGTTAGTAGAAGCAAAGTACCAAATCTTTACAATAGTAGCATAGACGGAAAATGTCCTGAACAAATCATAGAGCAGTAGATGAGTATTTATATAAAATATTTAAAGTTGTTGTGTAGATATACTTTATGACACTTCGCATTTCTAGAATCAACACGCGTGAAATTGCTCAAGTTATGTCTTCGAGAGGTGCTATTATCAGATGATGTAGATTTGTCAGAATTGGCAGCCAGGCTCGACGGGTTCAGTGGTTCAGATATCTGCAATTTATGCAGGTAAATTATGTGTACATATGCTAAGTTATAATGTTTGTAATTATACTAGAAAAAAATACGAATAAAGATTTCTTGTATAGTTGGTATGCATAGATATTCAAAAATGTGAAATTATGATAATAAGATATTGGAAAGACTGTATAGAAGGTCAAAAGTTTATGTAGTGCATAGTTTGGTACCCGCGCTGTTTTTTTAGATACAGGTAGCCTAGTATGTCCGACGTCGATTAAGGTCGTTTAAGACACATGTTTAAATTTATAATATTACTATGGATATTATACTTTTGATTAATTTTAGACGTTTTAGTGTTGTGTTCCAAATCCAGTAATAAAAGTAAAATATGTCATTTATTTATTTTAATTTAAATAAATTTGGTATATTGTATTTATAAGTTACAACATCATTAAGTGGATAACTAGATTGTATGCAACTATAAAAATACTTCGCCTTTTACAGAGATGCAGCAATGATGACGATGCGTCGCAAAATAGCCGGCAAGAGTCCAGAGCAAATTCGTAAGCTGAAACGTTCAGAGCTAGAAGCGCCTGTGACCAAGGAAGATTTGGACGCAGCAGTCGGCAAGACCCGCCGCACCGTCACGCAAGCTGATGTAGCACGCTACACCGGCTGGATGCAGCGGCATGGATGCTCCTAGCGGCGAGCCAAAGCGCTTCGAGCGCTTCTCCGGAGACTGCGGAACTGAGGCTTGTCGGTACCAAGATAAAAGAGTTAGACTTCCTAAACTAAAGATGACTAAGTCCATAAGTGTGCAGGCAAGAGTTTCGAAGACTTTTAAGACTGTAGCAACACAGACGGCGAATGTTGAAATGAAGTCACATTGTGTTGGTACCGATATTCCTTACCATAGACTCGATGTGTAGTGTCACTACATTCCAGTGATTTATCTGTAGTTCCATAGACTAATTAGCGTTACAAAATTTTTATAATATTGTCGTTTTAAGACAATTCTCAAGTACCAGGATTTGATAAAATGGAATTTGTAAGTTAATACGGACACACACATTTTATAATTTATTTACTATATTTATACTGCTTATGTATGTATGCATTTAATATATTATTGGAGGTTATTATTACTCTATTAGAAATTATAATGTACCTAATATTTAAAAAATCGCAATAATTTTTTTACAAGTTTAGTAGATTTGTTATGAAAATTATTACTATAAGGTTGAATGTGCCGTGGAAAATGGTAGTTTTTAATAAAAGATTTGGGAGAAATATCTTAATACATATAAATATAATTTCTTTATAATTGAAATATATCATTTACATGGTGTGAGACTTGACACGTCAGTAATTTTATTTATACTTTTAATATTTTCGGTGTTTAAAGTATAATAATTAATTTATAATATTATCCATATTGTTTTGTAATATTTTCTTTTATAAACAATTTCAAAGTAATGCATCTTAAAAGGGCTTGAGACTATTTTCCAAGTTTAGTTTAGTTATTACAGAGTATGTGTATAGGTAAATATATTATATAAATTTAAAGTAGATATGTAGTTTTATATTAAAATTAAGAGTAGGGCAAAAGAAATAATATTCAAATTCGGGTGAAACTCGTTTATTGAATGACGTTTTGTATTGTTTTTATTATAATTTTTGTCTTCTTTATATGTATTATTTCTGTGTAAACATACTGTGCTGTTGAGTTAATATATAGATAAAGTTACAATAAAGTTAGTAAGAGTTTGATATGTGTAGTTTAATTATATTATATTATACGATGTAATAGGTGCACCCGACTTCATCTGCTTCATATTTTCCCTGCTTTTGTAACGTTTTGGACTGTAGCTCTGCTCCTATTAGTCATAAGCGTGATGTTATAGATACTAGCCTTACGGGCTGTATGAGCTATAAAAAAATAAAAAAATTCCAAATCGAATCAGTACGGGAGATTACGAAACATACATATTTACAAACCTTACCTTTTTAATATTGGTATTATCTATAGACTTAATTTGCTCTGAGGAAGAAATAAGGCATAATAGGTAAAAGTGGTTAATATAAAACATTAAGAATTACTGTCGTTTATTCAGGAAAGGCTAGAATATTTAAACAGCGTGCAGCGTTTAGCTTGTGTTAATAAATAAAGAGTTTAGTTTGTTTTTCACAAGTAACAAAATACTATAAAGATACTTCCAATATATATATGTCGCTCTACTTGCTATAACAAATCACTTTGTAGGTATATCTGTATAACCTGGCGTAGGTACTTAGGTATATCCGGACTATGTACAACAACAAGAATGTAACTTTATACTGTATTTTCAGAGAAAACTAAAATAACTTCGTATTCATAATTAACTCTAGTTTGTTTACTTTTTTTATTACTATAATCACAGATAACATAATATTAATAATGCTGTCGACCGCAGCTGGACTTTACAGCTTCACCGGGCAATAATACGGTGTTTCTAATTTATATAGAAAATAGGCTCTAGCTTCCCCTGAATAGCAAAGTCAGTATTGAACCAAAAATTAATAGTGATCTATATTATCCGCCTTACAGACTTACGTACACATGATCGATTTTTGATGTGAATAGTATTTATTCGTATGGTGGAACGGCACAAATAGTTATTCAGTACTTCTGCATGAAATGAAAGTATTAATTTATTAACGGAAATAAAAGGTGTAGTTAAAATTTATTTGTTTTCGATCCAAATATATAATTATATTATACTTAGGTATACAAAAATAGAGAGTTCAACAAAGAATATAAAATATAAATGGTTCTTTGGTATAAAACCGATAGAATTAAAAGAAAATAACAAAGATTCATACTTATCTAATATTAGTTCAGTTACATAGTTAAAATTAACTTATATTATAACTTGTACAGAATTTAAACATTATTAATTTGTAATTATTATAATATAGCCAGTGGTGTAATTAAATATATCATCGGCAGACCATCGCAAATAAATCGCATGGGACCCTCCCTTTGTATACTGGTTTATTTATATTATTGAAAATAATAAGTTGTTTTATTTAAAAAAAAGAAACGTTAAATGGGAACGTAAAATTAGGTGTACGATAACACGACTTAATATTATAGTAGTCCAATAAAATCATACATGTCTCAACATAGGTATTTATATATGTAATAACGATTGAAAAATACGTTCTGAATAACTTTAATAAACAATATTTATAACTTTTATTGCACAGTTGAATAAATTATGAACAAAACATGATTTAAATAGTTGTCTTATTAATATTATAAACGCGAAAGTTTGTGAGTATGGATGGATGTTTGTTGCTCTTTCACGCAAAAATTACTCAACGGATTTTGATGAAACTTTACAGTAATATAGCTTATTCGTGTAAAACTATACACGGTGCTGCTCGCCAGATATCTTACTTGAACTCTAAACTAGATATAGCAAAATAACATATAGGTTATATATTTCACGCGGTTGAAATGGCGGGCACAGCATTATTTAAATTATGATTAGTTCATAATTCGTGAATTTTATTTTCAATTATTTGAACTATAATCCGAATATTTTTAAAAAATGTATTAAAAATATGAAATAATTATAACAAAATTTAATGGAATGAATTAATTCCATTTACAAAATATCTGATTCCATTTATTCCATTCCTCACTATTTTATCTTTTGTGATGAAAATAAAGAAGTGAATGTCTTTTTTAACATTAGGTAAATAATTGTTAGTCTTATTTGATAGGCAGTAAAACAAATTTGATAGAATTACACTCAGTCGATATAATAACGTTATTTACTCAAATAAGGTCCATATTATATTATTTACTTACACTTGTATACGTAAGTTACTTATAGATAGGTACTTAAACTCGAAGCTTAGATATTGTAAGCTTATTATTGTTCTAAAAAACTACTTCAATTTATTGGAATACTTTCAGTTTAGTTTTAAAAACATTAAAAATCAATATTTGAATGATATAAGAAAATGAAAAAAATTAAATACATGTAAAAAGTACTCACTTAAAACAACATATTTTTTATATGTATATAATTATGATAGCTCTTTATTAATGTAGGTCTATTACAGATCCTTATGATATGTCAAATCTACCGTCAGTTCGGAGTGCTTTTGAGCTAAAGAAGAACATACAAAAAACTTCGTTTAATTTTTAAATGAGGTGGTTACAAAAATTCAGATTCGTTTTTAAATTAATTTTCTAGAAATTGTGTATGTCTAGAATCCCTACAGGTTGTTGTTATATAAAAAAATATTTTGGTTACATTCTAGTGCCATATAAGGTACATTCAAACAGGAATGTACCTTATATGGCACTAGATCGTAACCAAAATTTACATGTAATATAAAAAAAAATTGAATTATTGAAGTAGTCTTAAATTCTAGAAGTAGTTTGACTTGCGAAAGTCCTAGAAGATACTGGCTATAGAGATGTGAAAAATAGTCGATAATAGAAAAAGAAATTTTCGATTTTAATATATATTAATAGATTTTTAAATAGAATATTTTATTCTTCTTTTATATTACAAATTGACCAAAATTAAAAAAAACAAGTACGCCAAACAAAGGCACTAAAATTTAGATATGAAAAAATAATCGATTATTATTCAATGTAAATCTATTTATATTTAATCGATAATGTCTACAAAATAATCGATTTTACATAGAATGTCACATCCCTAACTGGCTTAATTATTGCTAGCTTGTAGACTAGTGAGCTCGTATCACTCGGGCGGGGCGCCGTTGGTTTGAGCCGGTGGATCCTCGTCATCATTCTCGAGGATTGCCGAGAATGAGAATGGCGCGAAGGCGTAGCCGTGACCTTCGTAGAACTTACTCATGAATTCCACCCTGGTTATAATAACATTACTTTATATTATCAATGCTATAGGAGACATATTTTTAATAATGTCTAGTATTTAAGGGGTAAAATAGTGACGCATACCTTTGCACAGATGCATTAAAAAACTTTTAATTACTCAGCTTGTTCTATATCATAACATTCAAGACGAAGGGTTATACGCACATTAACCTTCCTCTTGAATCACTCTATCTATTGCTAAAAACTTAGATTAAATAATGCAAATATAGAAGATATCAGAAATATCATATTACTATACATATACTAGCTGTCCCGGCAAACGTTTTGCCATATAAATTAATAACGCTACAAAAAATAGGGGTTGCTGATAGAAGGGTGAAAATTTAGGGTTGTATGTATTTTTTAATGACACATAATAAAAAGATATACATAAAAGATTTTGACCAAAAAAATAAAAAAATATGTTAGGGATGGACAACACTTATCACTTAGGGGTATGAAAAATAGATAGTAACCGATTCTCAGGCCTACTGAATATGCATATAAAATTTCATAAAAATCTGTCAAACCGTTTCGGAGGAGTATGGTAACTATCATGGTGTCACGAGAATTTTATATATAAGATTAGACTAACAGACCCGGCCACGTGTTGCAGTGGCTTAGGTTCTTGAATAAAATATTATTGTCACTATAAATTGAGATGTAAGCTATCCTATCTTTCAAGTTGGATCAAATTGCACACAATGTGCAAATCATTTGCAATCGGTTCAGTAGTTTAGGAGTCCATCGCAGACAAATAACGTGACATGTAATTTTTATATATAAAGATATACTTACCAATGCAATCGCAGAGTGTGCAAGAAGGCAGACAGTCCTTCCATGAGCACCAGTATGGCAAGAGTGAAGAACGCCCATATAGCGAATATCACGAACAAAGCAATAGAGTTGACTGGTGACCCACCGCTGAGGCCAATGCGCAACACTCGCTGCCACAGCACGGCCGATAACTCTATAGATAACAGATTTATTTTTTCTAAAATCCAAATCAAAAATCCTTTCTTAATGTAGGACATTTTAGTCACTTATGAACGTCAAATTTTTTATTTTATAAGTTCAGTCTATAGCTCCAATTGTAATCTAACGTATGGTACGCTTTATTTGACAATTCCTTTCAGACACTAGACAACTCGCGAGGAATGGAACCCGCGACCATCGGAAAAAAGCGGTATGTTAAACTGCTAGACCACCTAGGCCGTCCAACTAATTTTATTGCGCGGACACACTCCTTTTAAAGCCCAAAACGAATACTAAGACCTGTCAGCTTAGTCCTAAATATGAGAAAGAACAAGTTGTAACCACGGACATACTTTCGCAAACCTAGCGATCTTTGAAAAAGGGCGAGCACAATAGATCTATGAAGGTCGCAGTTTTACAGCCAAAACCCTCAATAAAAAAAATCACGGACAAGACGACGTTATCTCCGTGATACTATTTATATATTATAGTCCTCAGTATATTTGCTATTTGAGTTTAAAAAAAAGTAATACATACGTGCATGAGCTAATGAAAGTGCCCAGAGTCGTAAGTATGATGCCGTATGGCTCACAGTGCCTAGCACGTACTCTATCGTGTGTATGGCTTGTGTGATTAACACTTCTCCCATACCGCCGTCATGCTCGTCGTCATGCTCGTCGACCTCTCCGCTCTCTACGCCTTGACGATATTGCTTAAATGAAAATTGGAAATTATTCTAAATAATAACAATAATAAAAATCCAGGCCAATTCAGGCAGCGCCATCTAGTTTGGCTAAGAAGAGCTTATGTTATAGGTACTAGACATCGAAGAATGTGATGTCGTGAATAAACGTGTTTCAATATAAATTTATTGTATAAATGATTTTCTATTCTATTCTCAGTTTCAAACTAGCTATCCCGGCAAACGTTGTTTTGCCTTAAAAAACAATATAAATTTAGGGGTGGACTACCCCTAACATTTAGGGGGATGAAAAATAGATGTTGGCCAATTCTCAGACTTACTCAATACGCTCACAAAATTTCATGAGAATCGGTCAAGCCGTTTCGGAGGAGTATGGGAACGAAAACTGTGACACGAGAATTTTATATATAGTACTATATAACATAACCAACCATACATAACTAAACTTAGTAAAATAATGAAAAAAGTGTTCTTTATATATACATATATACTATTCGTAATTTAAAAAAATGTTAAAATGACAATTTTGGCTTTAATATGTTAATTGATTTAAAAAAAAATCGATAACAGGTATATCAGTAAACAACTTATAAACTATGTTAGTAAATGAATGTGTGAACTATACATGAATGTTTGTTACCCTTTCACGCATTTTTTAATGAAACTTTACAGTAATATAGCTTATACTTTAGAATAACATATAGGCCATAAATTTCATGCGGGTGAAATCGCAGGCACAGCTAGTATATACCTATATATTTATTTACCTTCCGTTTCTTAGCTGCCATCATTTGATACACCGGTTTCCCGAACAGCATTATCGGTACACAAATATACGCAATCACCAAGAATGTTTTCTGCAGGGCGTCCTGTCCATCATACATGAGCGCTCTGCACGGAGGTTTGGACTCTGTCTCCTTCAGCAGCATCATGTTGATGAAGATTATGAGGACAGATGGGGCGCAAGAAGTGCCGTATGCTGGATCTGAAAATTAGATTTTTTTAGCCAATCACTATCACTAGATATTATATAACAAAGTCGCTGGCGCTGTCTGTCCCTATGTATGCTTAAATCTTTAAAACTACGCAATGGATTTTGAAGCAGTTTTTTTAATAGATACAGTGATTCAAGAGGAAGGTTTATATATATAATTAATAAAAGACAAGCTTGATGGAGTGGCGGTTTAGCTTTATTTCCGATGTTCGCAGGTTCGATTCCTCGCATGGTCCAAACATTTGTATTCATGAATATGATTGTTTATTTCGGTCTGGGTACTTTCTATGTATGTATTTAAAAAAAAATGTAATTATTTTTAACAATTGCGTGATACCCATATCAAAAGCTATGCTTAAATTGGGACTAGATGGTGCTGTGTAAATTATAATTATTATTTATTGAACAAATATTACACGCTTCAAATATTAGTAATATGATTATTATTATCTTATTTAATAGACTATTATGTTAAAGAATTTTTTTAAGCGAGACCTTGTTTTTGGCATTGAATTCAAATCATTATTCAAATTAAAAATTAAAAATATCTTTATTCATGTAGGTCTATTACAGACTGTATGCCAAATCTACCGTCAGTTCAGAATGATTTCGAGATGTGAAGAACTGACAAGAAACTCAGGTCGTATTATTTTCAAATTAATATTATACATGTTTACAATAACACAGATTAATTTTTAAATTCAAACTTGTTACAAAATTGTACCAACCCTACTCCAACACAATTTATGTATGACACAAAAACACAATTCCATATGATTGTCTCAGAGCGTTCAATGGAACGAGGAAATGAAATGATGGTAATGAATGGTGTATAATTACCATGGCCTTAGTTTACATGAACGTTTTACTATAACTATAACCCAGGGGAGCACTGGACACCATTCTATTGTAGTGTTAGCGTTATGAATTCTAATTAAGTTGACGCTTGTGGTCGAAATAGCACTATCACATAATCAAGTATTTTAATAGTATCTATTTTTATACCATACTAGTTTTTTATAAAGTTTTATATAAAAGTCAGTCTATATATTATGATATATGATATATTAATACTAGATTTAAAGACAAACGTGCTGTCCCCAAGTATCGTTTAGAAAAAGGCAATAGGTATTTTATGGGAATAGGTATAAAAATTACAATAAGATATCAAAGGATATACTGGAATTACCCTTAAGTAAATTCAAAACGTCTATTCAATCATATTTAAACAAAAGCCTATTACTACACACTAAACGATTACTTGTATGTAGAGCGTGCATGGCAATAGTTGTTCATGCACTGACATGCATGCATGCCTATATAAATATACATTGTAAATAAACTGGCTTTAAAACAAAATAGTTCAATTGCGTATCTTGCCAGTTCCTCTCAATTGAATCTGCATACTGAACTGGACGGTAGGGAAAAAAATATAATATAAAAATTTTATTGAATTTGATTATGGAGTTTGAGTTTGAATATAGTTCTCTAGTGTCTGAAAGGAATTGTCAATTAAGCGTACCATATGATAGACAATAAACAGCACAGCGAAGAAGAGGCTTTCCTTTCTTAATTGGAATTAATAGGTAACGATGAAATAAACAAATAACTCTCTTTTGCATTTCTTCCAAAAGCTAGTAAAATTAATCACCTATATTTACTAATATTATAAAGAGGAAAGATTTGTTTTTATTTTATAACTAGCTGTACATGACATCGTTCGCGTGGTTATCAAAAACATATAGTTTGTGGGTAACTTGAACCGTTTACGCAGCTCACGTACTGGAGGCCCTCAAATATGAATAATTTTTCCCGTTTTTGCAACATTTTTCGCTGATTCTTCGCTTCTATTGGTCGTAGCGTAATGTTATATAGCTTAAAGCCAAATGGATTATTTTACACAAAAATATTTTTTCAATTCGAACCAGTAGTTCATGAGATTAGCGCATTCATACAAACAAACTCTTCATTTGCTTTATAATATTAGTATAAATTATTTCAGTCTATCTCAATACTCAGTTTAAAAAATATTATATAATATATATAATTGTCTCTAACCTGTTGATATAGCTGAATACATGGTCCATTTCATAAACATGAGTATACATAAATACCAAAACAACAGCAGCAGAAATAAAATTTGGGGTATATACTGTAGATATATCAGCTCCGTTCTCCTGAAGAAACTGTCAACAGAAAACATACATTGTATCAACGCGGTAGAGTGCAAATTGGATATCACTTCACTAAGTCTAATTTCTATGAATATAGTAATTACTTGAAGTTTACCACACTCATTGTCACACCGAACGCCATGTGTATCACCCCAAATATAATGGACAGCTTCATTTTGAACGAGTTCAAAAATATTATGTTATTTGCGGCGAACTGAAAACATAAATGAAATAATTCGTGTATTGTTATTATAATGGACTATTTATAGAACAATCTCAGAATATATATCATAAATAATGAGATACATTAATAAAGACAAATATATGTAATTGAATAATATTTTTTTAAGTATATTTCAGTTAAGCGACAAGGACAAAAAATTTAAACTGTATATAACGATACACATCTATGTCTTTGTTATTCTTTATATCTATACATATAAATAAAATTGGAGTGTCTGTTTGTAATATTGAAATAACCGTTTTTTACTACATGCTTATTAATATAAATATGGTACATACATCATAATAGCATTTTTTTTTAATTTTGTCTGTCTGTCTGTCTGTTTGTTCTGGCTAATCTCTGAAATGGCTGGACCGATTTTGACCTTTATTGGCAGATAGCTGATGTAATAAGGAGTAACTTAGGCCTTTATTTTAGAAAAATAAATATAAATTCCACGCGGACGAAGTCGCGGCTACAGCTAGTATACAATATAAAGAATGACAAAATCGGTATATATGAAATCAAACGCCCCAAATACATATATATTAGTGTATAAAGATCTTTTATTACCATTAAGAAATATAGTTGGCCAAAACGTAATAGCTTATTTTTAGCATCAAAAATATTCTTTCGATGTGATTTTATGGAATAATCCTGAATTTAATTGTGTCCAGTTCTATTCATTAAGAGTATAAATAAAAAATATGGCATCTATTTAACCAGTGACCCCGAAAACCTTCACAAGTATTACTTTGTCTTTTAAAATAAGAAATTGAACCGATAAATATACGTAATCATGAATATAACGAAAACTAATTCCTTCAACCGCCATTTTGCAAACGCCATGTTGGAAATAAAATAAATTTATTTATTTATTTATTTAACTTTAATGCACACAATATAATATATAGTATAGTACATTTGGCGGACTTAACACCATGCGGCATTTTCTACCAGTCAACCATAGGTTGTGCAGAGAATAATTGTTGGCTTATAAACATAAACAAAATGCAACAAAATATAAATATATATACTTAAGAGATAATAATATATAACATAAATATATACAATTATGATACCTATATACACATAAATACATACATATATATGCAATAAACTTAAATATATACCAAATAGTCTGACAGTCACAGAACTAAAGAGAGTTAAATGGAAAAAAAGTGAATTCAGAGAAGAGAGAAAGTTATAAATTCAAATAATATTCCCGTAGTTTACGTTTAAAAGAAAATTTATTCGTAGCAGTTTTGATATCAAGAGGTAAATCTTTAATAAATCTTTTAGTATCGGGATTACTTTTCTAATAGGTTTGGTAACTATAGAAACATGTTTTTCAATAAAAAAAATAAAGAAGTAAGAAAGGTAGCCATGAAAAATCCGTATATTTGGCTTATTTTATTTTTTTTCATAGTTAAATATTATTTTAGACAATTCTAACCTACGCCATTCGAAAGAGTACCCTCGTAAAAAAAAGGACAATGGATCCAGAAATTCTGATCATTTAGGCCGTAATGGTTTAAATCATTATTTTTTAATTGAATTATATCAAGTTGACATTAATAGAAAAAAAAATATATATAATTGTGACAAATATTGAAACCATTAGGTATCTTATTATAATCATGATGTTTACCTCCCAAACAGGATCCAATCCGAAAGGGTACGGTGTCTGACTATATGCCTCTGCTGGATCTAATTCAAGCATTTTATTATTCAACAGCGTCTCATTGTCATACACATTCCTCCATCTGCTTCCAAATATATTTAACGATTTGGAGAATATATCGTTGTATATTAAACCGGTGTATATGGAGAATATGCCCATGAGAAGAATTATGTAGCGTCCTCCGAAGAATATGTTCCAGATTTCGTTGTCGGTCTTCTTTTTGGCCAGTTTCTTCTCGAATAAGACAACAATGGAAGCGAATAAAGTCATCAGCAGACCATGTCCCACGTCACCGAACATCACAGCAAACAAGAAGGGGAATGTAATGATCGTGTATAGAGCTGTAATGAAGAAGGTTTTTAAATGTTATTCTGTGTTATATTACGTCTAATATAGGGAATGCTAAGTATATAATGCTGTAATGAAGAAGGTTTTCAAATGTTATTCTATGTGTGTGTTCTATATGTATGCAGTCTCTATAAGTGTTCCTTAATTAAAAATATCATTTACTCCAATTTATTCCATTGTAAAATTATTATATTTAATTTTAATGTATATTATTGGATCTATGACAACACATACAATAAATCGTCTTATATGTATATCTTACTAATATTCTAAACTTGGAATTTTGTGAGTGTGGTTGGATGAATGTTTGTTTGTTACTTTTACACGAAAAAACTACTGAATAGATTTTAATGAAACTTTACAATAATATAGCCTATAAATCAGAACAATACTAGGCTATATATTTCAAACTGGTGAAACTACGGACACAATTTTTTTTCTGACTTACACAACTTATGTTTCGTTCTTAAAATTAGGCATTTTTGAGAGAGGCCTATTGAAATAAAGACATTGATTTTTGGCCTCTTATATTAAATAAGAGGCCAAAAATCAAAATTTTGTTGAAATAATTTAACTGTTTTAAAAAACCTATTCACACATAAAAAGATATAAAAATCCTATTTTTATGAGAACTTAAAAAATACTTATCTATGGTACTAACCTGGATTAACTTCTCTGTAACTGGCGATTCCATAGGAATCAATGAGGTTCTGGAAGCCCCTAGTGAATTTGTTGGTTCGGTTGAACGTCGGCGGTATTTCTTTGGTAGGGACATAATGCAAAATCGATGGAATCGGACTGCCGCTTGCTTTCTGTAAAAAAATGTTGAACATAATGAACAAAATGTTCAACAATCCTGGATAGTATTGTACTTGGCATAGGCAATTATTGCCTCTTTGTTCTAAAATTTATTTTCAAAAAGCTTAAACTGGCTAAATGCACCTTAAAGGCATCTAAGCATGTATGTTTGAAGAAAGAGGCAATAGTTCCCTATGCACAAGTAGTATACTACATACAACACGTCATCATGTGATAGATAGCTAAGGACTAAGATATCCTGTAACTTCACTGCTATATCAAACAGTAACACAGCTTACAAAGCTTGGCGTCAAAGCAGTCTAAATCTGGCCTCACATTATTAGGTTCAGCCGAACAATTAAGCTGCGTACACAAGTACAATACCACGTATACACGTCATCATGTGATAGATATATATGGACTAAAATATCCTGTAACTTTACTACAAACCGTAACACACCTTACAAAGCTCAAAGGTCTAAATCTGGCCTCACATTATTAGGTTCAGCCGAACAATTAAGCTGCGTACACAAGTACAATACCACGTATACACGTCATCATGTGATAGATATATATGGACTAAAATATCCTGTAACTTTACTACCTTATCAAAGGTTCAGCCGGACAAATACCTTTCATTTCAGCCGTCTATTTCAGCCGTCTAATTACCCTGCGTTTAATTGCGTTTACGCGATTCTAAAAGAGGCGTGAGGCCAAATCAAATGGTAGTCACATATATACACAGTACAATAGTACGATCTCCGATTGAACATCAATGTCAACAACCTTGACGGTCTCTGTGATCTAGTGCTTTGTCCACTGCTCTACTTCCGATGGCCGCGGATTCGATTCCTCGCACGATGCAAACATTTGTATTCACTGAATAATATATGAATATGAGGACTTATAAAAAATGTATAAATTTTTATCAGTTAGTAAGTACCCATAATCCAATGCCTTCTGCAATATGTAGAGATCCCGCCTTGGTACCCAGCATTCTGCTATAAGGCACTTCTTCACAATGTCCATGCTGAACATATTTTGAAGCGGATTTTTTAATAGATAGAGTGATTAAAGCTGAAGGTTTATATATATATGTTTATACACGATCACCACTGCTACCATCCATGTATATTATAAAATATTAACAGCGAAATGTTCATATAGGCCAAAGAGTTCGCCAGAGCTTGTGTTAGTTTGACAAACGATATAGATACTTCGGATTTTTTTGTATTATATATACATAATAATAAAAAATATAAACCGATACTAGAATTTCACCATTATAATAATGTTTGTAATGAATCGACGTATGATTTTTTTAACACTGATTTTGAAGCCGTTGAAAATGAATGTTATTAAATCAAGATGTAAAAGAATCGTCTAGATATGTAATACAAAGAGATCCCGCCTTGGTAAAACTATTCTGCTATAAGATTTTCAAAATTCCATAACATATTAATTTTAATTGCTTTTAGTCTTGCCATCCATGTGCCCATTTATCGTGAGGACGAGTCGTTATAGCTGTCTAGAACCTTCGAAAATTGTGACGATTATATATCTAATTTAAACGAAGAACTGCAATGAAAATTATTGTTGAATAATGAAGATGTATTCATTATAATTGATTATAAGACGATAAATGAGTCATTTAAGATGTATTTGATTTTTTTGTTATTATAAGACACGAGAAAGAGGTTGAATTATACAAAGATTTTAAAATAAGTGACGTATTAAAATATTAATTAAAAAAATAATTCTAAAAAAGAATATTTCAAAAAATAAATGATCAAAATATCAAAAAGCAATGGGGTCTGTCGCTAACATCAAAACATTCGTTTTGTGTTGTATAGCATATTTATTGAGGAACATATATATAAGATACATACATATATACACATGGACCAATGAAAAATATTAAAATGTATATAATACAGACGAAATTAGTGAGAGGTCAGTTATAATAAAACGGCTAAGATGTGATTAAAGTTTTAAAAACTTACTATCTCCAAATCCTTGATTCTGGTCTCGACCCCCGCCAGCATATCCTGCTGGTCCTTGTATGTAGCAGGGCAGGGGTACAGCGTGGCTTGGAACCCGTTGCATACCTTTTTAACTCGCAGTTTTATCTGTTCTCCATGGAAGAACACCACGAAAACCGTCTTCTGTAACTCATGGCCCTGAAATAGATTTTTTTTTAACAAAACTGATATGATTGGTATTTATTACTAGTTATGTACTACGTGTACTATGTGTATTATATTGGTGTGAAGTTTAAAATAAAAAATAATTGTTTTTAAATCAATATATATTTTTTTAATTATTATAAATTTTCTGGATGACACACATATCGCCATGTAGTCCCACCAACCTAAGCTGCTTGTGTTAAGGATACTAGACTTTTTGTTAGGTGACTAGACGAGGGATTGTTTTTTGTAAATACATATTTAATATACATAGAAAACAAACAGATGATTCGAACCCGCGACCACCGGTATGTGTGGTAAATCGCTAGGCCAACAAGGTTGGATTCTGGATTTTCGTAGAGTGGCAGCTGATTTTTTATGTAATATATAAACTTAAGATTGTTTTCCTTTAGATTAATATATACATATATATATATAGTCGTGAAAAGGTAAGAACATTAAGACAGACATAGTTTGCATTCATAATACAAGCTGTCACCTGCGACTTCGTATGCGTTTTTTGCCACAATTTATCTTCATATCTATTACTAGCTACTGCCCCGGCTTCGCACGGGTGTACATGTATTATATATACAAACCTTCCTCTTGAATCACTCTATTAAAAAAAACCGCTTCAAAATCCGTTGTAATGATGTAATAATAATAATTAATAGTGAAAAAGCAACAATTAGGTAGACACACAGACACACTCAAATAATATTATTAGTACGGATTTGTCAATGTCACCTATACCTATTATATCTATATACGTACTACAATTTACTATAAATTATTAATAAAAAATATATATAAAATTTCGCCTTGGTTTCGACTTAATAATAAAAATAAATATATCTATAACAAACCATAGTGTTTACTTCATTATAGCGGACTTACTAGATTACTATTTATATTACCAAATTTATAGGTTCGCCTTTCGATGGCAGTCGATATTGAGGTTTCAGACATAAACAGCTCTTTAGAAGTAGCAATAGGTAATAGGAAATCGATAACTGCCTTGATGGTATAGCGGTTTTGTACTCCGCCTTATTCTAATGGTCGCGGGTACGATTTCTCTCACAGTAAACATTTGTATTTATGAGTATGATTGTTTGTACTGTGTTTGTGTTTTATATGCATATTATATTATGTTTTACATTAAAAAATGTATTTATATCAGTTATCTAGTATCTACACATATTAAGCTTTCCTTAGCTTGAGACTAGATGGCGCAGTGTGAATTATACAGGGTTATTATTTTAATTAAACAGACTTAAATAAATAAACATACTTATAATAAGCCCATCATGACGAATTTACCATGATTTAACCACAATAATTTCAAGAACCTTGCAGGATTGAACAACCCCTGCCCCCTCTACACACATACGTGTGTAGGCCATAAAAAATCTTCATTCACATTGTTAAGGATATCTCGAAAATTACTAGTCAGAACTTGATAAATTTTGTATATAACACGGAAATCTACATCTTCCAAATTATAAAAAAAAAATGTGTAAAAGTAAGTACTCAGGCTGTTAATAGGGGCAGTATTTATATTAGGGTTGTTTTGTATAAAGGTAGCATATTTAATTAGAAGATATAAGTTATACAGAATATAGCAAAGTGAAATAACAATGAAGATACAACCAATCAGTATGTCTGTAAAAAATGTATTTTTATTTTCCCGCGCAAAACGTAATGCGCCACAGATACACAATACTGCACGGCGCGGCGGCGCACGGCCGCAGTAGGATCACGCGTCATACATAGCTGTATCTTATGTTAATACTAGTATATTAAGTATTAACATCTGTACATAAACCACATAAAAAATACAATTAAATGGTGAACCTCCTTTTATTAAGATCGGTTGAAAAGTAGGCAAATTTATGGAATATAGACATTCAAATAATAAGAATAGAGCAAAACAACGTGTGTCAAATCAGCTGGTTAGTTATAAAAAGCTAGTAGGCCAGTTAACGACTAGAAAAATCAATAATAAGTCAGGTTAATGACCGCGTCCACTTGTTCCTTCTCATGTACATAATAACCACAGATTATAATAATTGGTTTTATATCATTAAGGTTTGAACATGGTTTTGCTGGGCTGATTTCTTTTTAAACACAGGATCGTGTTGATTCCTGTAATTAGGGGTGAATATAGACGTATATACGCTTATGCAATATAAATAGTTTATTTTTTATTTTTAAATTATTTTTTAAAATAATAGTATATTTCCAATGGGCTCACAAATAAACAAGTTAATCTATTGTTATATAAAATACGTGGTATCGTATAGTACTAATACATTATGATCCAATCATGAATAAAATAATTTATAATACATATATATACATAATCCAAGAACAAGCCTATTAAATTGAAGCCTAAAGTAGGATACTGCAGTCAAAGAGACCTAGTTTCGACATTAGCGTTCAAATTTCATTAACATTATAAATGCAAATGTTTGTGAGTATGATTGGATGTTTATTACTCTTTCACGAAGAAACTACTGAACGGATTGTAAATTTCAGGGTAAAACCGCGGGCACAGCTAGTCAGTTATAAATGAGAAAGATTACGTCTCTCAACAGTAGTCCAGTCACTGGGTATTTCTTTATTATTTTAATTATAAATTTCCATTTTTGTAGGAACAATGGCGCTGAAATAACTTAAAAAAAATTGATATAAATTTCGATTAAAATTCTTTTTTGGAGGCAGTAATATCTACATATATCGGCGTCATTCTGCTTTTATTCATGAAGGTACGTGTACAGTCACTTAAAATAAGCCAAATCTACAGTTACTTTAGAATGTAACTAAGTTGGAACATATAAGTTCAAGGGTAGGTATATATATTAACTATTTCCTAATAATATTTTTCATCAAATAAGTTTTAGTCAAAATGAAAGAAAAACTAAATGAAACGGGTACGAACACCGACATAGGTTATTTTTACCCAAAAAAAGGAGACGAAGTCATTGGCAACATCTAGTACAAAATAGTATATTAACACTTAAATTTACTATAACGTTAGTAGTCAATTTAAGTTAATATATTGATTAGGCTGTAGATACAATATCGGATATCGGACAGGATATTATTGTCCCCCACAAGTAATTAACCAGTCACTTCGTTCGTAGTATAGGTATGTCAACATTGCCCATTTACTATCACAAAGATAAGCTATCTATCCTTCTACTCTCGTTACAATAGACCGGATTGTTGTACAACAAACATTCACTATCGGTTTGAGTTCACTGATTGATATTTTGTTTATCTCTTTTTAAATAACAATAGTGATCGCCCAATGATCGAAATTCGACCATAATTAATTTAGCATTCAGTAAGACTATAGACAAATAATAAAACAGAGATCACAAAGCTATGGGCAATTGGGCATACAACTATATACAAAATGTCCTTCATGTGAAATTAATATAAAATTAACATGGGAAAACAGCAATTGGAAATAATCATCAAAGTCGGATTAAAATTGACAATGATTGAAATATAGAAGATTATTATATCTACTTGATCCAAGTATATTATGTATCTGAACTCTGATAACATCAACCTATTGCTTTTTGTTGTTTTTACTTTTTTTTTTTAAAAACACAGGATAGAAGAGTTGTTTATTTGTTGAGAGGGTATCCTTTTTTTGACGTGGAGAAAATGTTCATAGATTACCTTCATACCACCCGTCCGGGGGAATGGGTGGGATATGTGAGAGTCACTCACTAAAAACTTCACCGTATTCCTCGGTACACCAAGGCAGAATGTCACGGAAAGTACTTTTGTATTCTACTACGACTGCTGATGTTTAGAGTCGGCCTCTTCTATTTTTTATGCTTTAAAACCCTCATCTAACCTTTGATAATATGTTTCTAAGTACCATAAATTTTTGATGGAGTGAAATATTTAAAAGCATTTTTGTAGATATTCGGGATTTATGAGTTACTTACTGTAACAGGGTCCTTCAGTGGTTTCTCAATATGTGCTTGTTTGAAGAAAATATTTCCGTGTGATATTCTCCATAGCATTTTCTCGAATGAAGGCACTCTGTGTGTCGCCACGACTCCAGCAATGAAACCCAAATGCCCCAATACACCTTCATTATTATATATTTGGACCGACGCCGAGATCTTTCTGTGAGCACTTTGATCCTGGAAAAACGTTTGCGTCTTCTCAATTAAAATCTTCAGTTCCAAAAGAGATAGATAGTCTGACTTCAGGTTGCGGGCATTTCGTGTGATTTCTTGTATTTCTGATTCGATATAGTCAATTCTTTCCTGGAAAAAATAGTTTAATTCAGGTATGTTATAAGTCTGTTTCAATTAAAAGTATTTTATAGGTATTAAAAAACGCACTTAAAGAATGTATATCAATCCAAGCCAAATATAGAACTGAATGGCATTATTTTAATTACTGAGTACGATTTTCTATTACATATTTTAGCTGTACCCCATTTGCCATTTTTGTAAAAGTATGCTATGTGTTGATGCAGGACATATGTAATCTCTCAATGTACCGATTTTGTGATTTAAAATTCTTTAGAGTCTTATCCTCTCATCTGCGAAGGAGCCAATTATTAGACTCGTACACGCCCCATGTGTGGAGGATTCAATAATTTTTGACACATTAGTTTTAACAATTTATTCATTTATTGGACGCTCCACATATGGACCCAAACCCCCATCTTGAGAAGTCCTGTATTGGTTTCACATAAGTTGCGTTAATGTTATGCTCCTTGATATTAAGATAAATGACTGTTTTATCATACTCACTTCTAATATATTAATCTCCCTTGGACTAAGGTTGCTGGGAGATATTTTGGGCGGGGGCGGTGGTTCAGGCAACTCCCCGGCAACCCACCGGAGTTTCCTTTCCATCTCGCTACATCGCCTCACTTCGGACACGTAGCGCCGCTGGAAGTCGTTCACGTGGGGATTCAACTGTTTAAAAAAAAGAAACAAATAAGTATCTGTTTAAGAGAGTATGTGCATGTGTGAGATCCGTGTTTTCAAATAAATTAAATCAAAATATTTTTATTCATGTAGGTACATCTTGCAATACATCTCCAGTAAGGTGCCATCTCATTTAGAGATGGCACCTTACTGGAGAGGGGCCTCATCTCAAAAAGCCAATAACTTCAAAAAATCTGATTATAGCCGGAAGGGCTGATCGCAGAAAGAGAAAAAAAAAATGTAGGTACATCTTTACGATCAGTCAAATCTGTAGAAGTATAGTTTGGAGTGAGAAGAACTAATAATAAAATCTGCTCTAATTCTTTTCACATATTCAAGATTAACTTTAAACATAAATGTACCCTATTGGACGGTGGAGAGGGGTTATTAGTTTTGGGACTAGTGCCCCCTTAGCAACCACATCAAGTCAACCTCCATATAGTGTTCCCTCAAAACCATCGTGGTTAATTCCTGGTGAATCTAGTCAAGATTATGAAACTTACCTGATGTTCATTGAAAAATCAATATCAAATATATTCATTTTATTTAGTGATTTAATGTACTTTATTGCATAATTAACAACATTCTGGCCGGCTTTTCTATATAAACTATAAGTGTACGAAATTTCATGCTCGTCCGTCCACGCAATTTTCGTAAAAACGGGTACAAAGTTTTTGCGTCTCATAATAATAAAATGATTATACATGTGTCCTTTAATACATTGTTTTTTTTTTGTATGTTACTAATAAAGTATAATCTATATATATTTCTTTCTTTTTTTAAGCCGGTTAAGAATGGTGTCCTAAATATGATACAGTTCAATTATATGATTAAGTGGATAATACGAGGAGTCGTTACCAATACGACGCTGATGTTCCTCACCCGTTTTATTGTCGCCGCACCTTATACGAAAATAACTCGACAATTGGTCGTTGTAACAGACGCCTCCTGTTTTATGAATGCTCGTCTTTTTATATCTGTCCTCTTATACTGGTATATTCACTGTGGTCTAGTTACTATCTCGATCTCCTTGATATAAAATTTGACCGACCCTAAAAAATTCTATGTAAGTATATAGATATTTCTGACGGAATCTTTTTTTTAATGCATAGAGAACAAACTAGCTTGAGTTTCTTTTACCCCAAAAAAACAGACCTAATTATGGAAGAGATTTACAATATAAGCTGGCTAATCCAATATTTACTCAATACAAAAGCCGAAAAGCTCTGAGTTAAAAAAAAATTAAGTGAAGCTGTACCTTTACTAGTTATTTTATAGCACTGGGGACAAATGAATTGCGACTCACCTGATGGTAAGTGATTACCACCGCCCATGAGCATCCGCAACATCAGGGGAATTGCAAGTGCGTTGCTGCCTTTTAAGAAGGAATAAGCTTTTTTCTTGAAGGTTTCAATATCGTATCGGTTCGGAAATACCGTAACTGGAAAGTGATTCCGCAATGTGGTTGTGCGTGTCAAGAAGTTTCTAGAAAAACATACGGCGGAGGATCGCCATTCATCCAGACGATCAGGATGGTATTTTTGTTTCTATTCGGTAAACGTCGACCATAAAACCAGAATATTAACCCAAGAGTCGGTAGACTAATATACCGAGCAGAAGTAGGCATTTTAATTGTTGTGTTCACCAACCTACAATCGATAAAGGCTATGTTTGACTAGATCTTCCGGGATAACTACACAGGATACTAGCTCTCTCTCTCTCTCCAATAGCGCTTATTGTATTACAAATTATTAACCTCGCCTGGCTTCGACCATACCGTCCTATTACGCGTAGTCATTTTCACTGCCTATATTGCACATTACAACTAAAACATATCTTATAAACCAAGCTGCTTGGCAACTGTAGTAGGTGAGACTGATGTCCCAAGGAGATGATTTGTTACAATTTACCACCTCTGGCAGTGATAAAATAATATTACATAGTTCTGTTCAGAACAGAGAAGCATTTTTTTATTCTGTGGTATAGACAATTAATACGGTACGACTACTACGGTGGTCTAACGGTTTCGTAGACCGCCTTATTTCTGATGATTGCAAGTTCGATTTCATGCAGGGTAAACACATTTGTATTCATGAGTATGATTATTTCTATTGGTCTGGGTGTTTTCTATGTACATTATGTATGTATTTACAAAAATTATATCCATGGATTTATATCAGTTGTCAAGTATCCATATCACATGCTTAGCTTAGTGTGAATTGTCCTCATATATTATTATTAATAACCTATGTAAGGATAAATAATAGGATTTGAAAAGTTGGGATTTTGCATAACTTCTAGTATATTCTGACTTTCAACAATAGTTCCATCCTGTCCGGCCATAAACAATTTTATTAACACGAACCTCGTGATAAAAATTACCGACACCATTGTGGAGGCGATTCATTGTCGTTTCAATTAAAACAATAATTTCGTTCAACTCGCTGATATATGAGATGCGTTAGGGTCAAGCCGCCTTCATTAGAACGTTCTAGAATAATCTTTATCTATGTATATAGAATTCCACGACGTCCTAGTAGCTTCGTACCACGGATTTATATTATTTTGTTTAATTCAGCTACAATTAGCATGCGTGAGACCACAAATATTCAGTGTGGGAACTACCGGTTACGAGTTCCTCTAATGGCGATCAAATTCCTATTAATATTTTTGGTCTCACACATGCTACTTGTAGAGGAATTAAACAAAATAATATAAATCCATTAAGTAGTGAAATGGACTTCCGAAAAATAACATCTAATTCGATTAAATATTCGTACCATGAAGCAAATCACAAAAGCTGTCAAAAGGAATTTAGGTGATAGCAAAAAAAATCTGTCGATTTTGTTCGTTATTAACTTTCCATTATTATTTTTTTAATACAAAATCTTATATTTATAAAATATACTTATTACAAATTTGGGATCTAAATCGGGGTATAGAGACCTAATATACCAGAAAGTTTTCTTAACGGAAACTTAAACGGTAACGGACAATGCGGTTATAGAGAGTTTTCTCCCTCCCACACTCAGGTTGTGGAAGTAACTATTTACCGAGATTTTATCTAAAGACCACAACGTGAGCTATTTCAAGACCATGTTATATGTACTAGTAGTCGACCAACGGTCGAAATTCAACCAATAACAAATTAAATTATAAATTTGCACTATGTATTATCTTATCTATGGTTTGCACAATATGAAGGTTCTATTTTCGAAGACAATACTTAATGTGTTTCAATGTGTCAAATATATGGTAGTGTGTGTAATGCTTTTTTTATTTATTTAATGTATTATTTGAAAAAAATATTAACATTCTGCATTTCTACTCTATATCAACTATTAGTGTGCAGGATTTCATACTCAAACACAATACAACGCGCAAGTGACACCACTCTTTTAAGGCATTTATAGGTTACGATAACCGTTTACCATCATATGCTTGTTATCACTGTGGTATACAATAGGTTCTCTAACTAGGTATATTGTATTATAGGCAAATAGCAACATAACATTCTTGAAATATTAAAAGTGGTTTCCAAGAATAGGGTGGAAACATTTAGATGGTAAACCCGATTCATCAACATATTGACAAGTTGGTGGCACGTTGTTAGTCTGTGGACGCTCTACAACTTCTAGGGTTCCGTACTGGAAACATAAACAGACACCTCTATAATGTAAATTTGTATGTAAGAACTCATTGCTGCACTATAGGAGAGAATAGTGAGTGGTTAGTAATAGCTACTATTTTTTTTAAACACAGTATATCTAATCTTATGAAAGCGGAGCTTGTGTTATGGGTACTAGACAACTGATATAAATACTTAGATATTTATTTGTAAACAAATACATAATGTACATAGAAAACGCAGACCGATACAAGCAATCATACTCACGAAAACAAATGTTTGAACCGTGCTATGAATCGTACCCGCGACCATGGAAATAAGACTATGTGCTAAACCGCTAGACCACCGAGGCCGTCACCTAATCTTAGACCTACAGAATATACACATAAAATTTCATCAAAATCGTTTAAGACGTTTCGGAGTCGTACGGCAACAAACTCTGTGACACGGGAATTTTATATACATACATAGAAGATTTATATAATGTATATTCTTTTGTAAAGCGTTTCTATAAATATTTCATAGGTATAAGAAATTGTTCTCTATAATTCATCGCAACAAATCCACGCATCGATGACGTCACGTATTAACCGTGTAAATTAAAAATGTATGCGAATGACCTTAGCCAGTATATTCTTACGGGGCTTTTGAATTCAACAATACTACCGTTCAGGTGTTCAATCGATAGGCCCGTCACGAAACCAGGGACACTCCTTGCCTGCATAATGATAAACACGATATCAGGGGTGACTACCCCTGGCATAAATAATAGGGCCCTTAACGAGGCCATGTGTTCTGCATTAAAGGAAATCTATACTATGAAAGTAGTACTATATATAAATATATTCAAATGTCACAATAATGTCAAAATAAAGAACAATAACAATGATGGTCTAGAGTTTACCACACCGTCTTATTTCCGACGGTCACCATTTCGATTCTGAGATGGCGTGGATTATTATTATACATATCAATAATTAAATATTTTTACGTATATTATATCATACAATAATAATAATAACCATAGACACTTCAGACAGCACCAGCCATAATAAAAAAAATCATATTAGAATTAACATAGGATATTTTTATTAAAAAAAGCAAATACTTTTTATAAAAAACAAAAAAAAAATCAAGATTTTGCTACTTCAATGCTATTTAGCAGCCAGTAATGTTATGCGAGCGATGCCGCGGGTAAAAGCTAGTATTTAATATTTTGTTCTTCTAAAATATAATTAGTTGATATATAATATAATGCATAAGTTATTATTAAGAAATGTGAGCTATAAATAATTTTCTATTAATATCATTTACTCATATATAAGCAGTTGTTACGGCTTTATCTTTGAAACGTCGTGGATACGAAGATGTTTGGTCCAATAGGTCACAGAACATAGTTGGTGTTAAACTGATGAACTGTATGAACAAAACGATAGTAAGAAATATTTGTGTGATAGTAAGTAAAAAATGTTTCTATGGTCATTTCAATTATTTTATGAGTCGGGAATTCTTGTTTAATATTCGTTTTGAAATCCCGGTGGTCTAGTGGTTTAACACCGCCTTACTTTCAATGGTCGCGGGTTCGATTCCTCGCATGGTACAAACATTAGTAGTCATGAGCATGATTGTTTGTAATGGTCTGAGTATTTTCTATGTATATTATATGGAGTATATACCCCCATTTTTTAATTTTTAGAATTAATATATCCGTATGCTATATGTTTGTAATTGATGAATAAAACAAGTATCTGTCTATCTACATATTTATAAAAAATGTATCTATGTATTTTTAACTCCTGGACCCTGTTCTAGGATACCTGGCATCGAGTACCTCGGATTGTTTCGTACGCCTTTTCCAATGCACGCATAGGTACCTATAATAGTGAATTTTCGTTTAAATTGTGTACTTTTAAGTTTATCAGAATATCCATAATATTTTATTTTATTTCGTCACGGTGGCCACTATATATACCTAATTACAAAAAATGTTTTCAATATTTTATTACACATAGAAAAACTGCAAACTGAATATAAATTGACTTATATGTAAACGTAAACCTTATTTGTATTGTACGAAGTACAATAATATGAAATTAATATTTCAATAATAAGATATTATTACAAAATCTGTACTATCAATAGACTGTACCAAATTAGACAGTTATATATATATAAATATGCCAACAATAAAATGTACTACTATTTAATCGACGTAGAACATACTACAATTGCTCGTTTTAATTTTGCATATATGTTTTTTTATGTATCCCAGCGACACTCTATAACACTCTATAATTTCACTACCATTTCGCAACTAACAAAGCAGGAACTGTATAAGTTAAGTTAAGATATAACTGTAGAACATCTACCAAAACAAATGATAAAATAAATAATGCGATTCAGGTTTATAAATAAAGTTAGGATTTTCCTCTTAAATAAAAACATAAATCTTATTATTACTTAAATATTCATGTACAATAAATATTATAACCATGACTCGTAAGTCTATTGTTGTTATCAATTGCCTCTTATCAGTACTGTTGGGTAGAAGACAAATATTTATATCGAACTTGTCCTATAATTGTTTGTTATGAGATCATCTAAACATCATTACAATCCTTTGTTATCCCACTACTGGGCATGGGTCTTATGATCCTAGTCTACAAATTATGCAGCATCTTCGAAAATAGTCAAGAACAAGGCTGATAATTTTTTTTAATAGACGAAATAACAGAAATGTACCATTAGAAAGAAAGATTTGTGGACACAAATTTTACTAATATTAGAAACGCGAAATGTTGTGAGTATGAATGGATAGATAGATGCATGGATATATGTTACTCTTTCACGTAAAAATTAAGCGGGTGAAACCACGGGCACAGCTAGTTGTAATATCTTTTAAGATTTGCGTGCAACAATAACAATAATAATCTAATAATAACAATAATCTCAGAACAATTCACACAGCGTCATCTAGATCCAAGTTAAGCTAGCTAAAGCTTGTGTTATGGGTACTCGATAACTGATACAAATACATAGATATTTTTTTGTAACTACATACATATTATATATAGAAAACACCCAGACTGATACAAACAATCATACTCATGAATATAAATGTTTGTGCCGTGCGAGGAATCGAACCCGCGACCATCGGTCGTAAAGCGGTGTGCTACACCGCTAGACCACCGAGGTCGTCAGGTCGTCAACAAACATAGAAAAGCAATATTATGATATGTAATTTTTATTATTAAACAATGAATAAAAAAATCAATAAGCAGCTTATAATAATGAATAAAACGTTATGTTTAATTTTAATTGGATACTTTCTTACGTGCTTGCACGGGCTATTTAAAGTTCTTCTACGGCATATGTAGCCTTGAGCATAGGAATGAGCAACCCTGGTCTCAAGACTAAGACCTAGACTTAAGTCTACTATTACCATAGATACGGGTCAGGCAACAGAGCATAGAGTTTTATTCCTATTTTGAATGGAGTGGAGGACATATTGCACAAAAGATATTTTTTCTATGTATGTACGCGGACTTGTGCATTTTCCTTTGTTCTAATGGTACATTCGCACCAATAGAGGATGAAGTTAGGTCAGTTAACCTATCGTTTGTTTCAAACTGTGATCAATAGTGGATCGTTAGGATATTCAGCATGAACTGAAGTAGTCTAAAGAAGTAATAACGGCACAATTTTAACCAACCGCTGCGTTATTGATATTGTACTATAACGATATCAATCAGCTACGAGATGAAGCAATTGTGTATCTATTTTTCGACTGTTCAATCTTATACTGATTTATGAAAATGATTCTCTGTTATGTAGCCTATTTTGTGTGTAAAAACTCTTCAATTCCGATTTTGTCGTTGATGTGCTCGCATGTAACTTATGTAGCCTATTTTGTGTGTAAAAATCCTCGCACATTGCGAGCATGAGAGCATACCGCTCATATAATTATAGCTGATAGCCGAAGGTGGTCGGGCTTTCAGCTCGTCGCGTGTGGCATCGAGCTCAAGGAGCCGCCGGTTTTCAAAACCTGAACAAAAAACTTTGTACCCCTTCTTACTAACATTTCGCGGAGTATGAAATTTCGCACACTTATAGTTTATATAGAAAAGGAATGCAGAATGCTATTTTTTTTGCAAATCACCATATCAGGTCGACCACCACGTGGTCTTCCTTGGAATGCATAGTGACAAATTCATGGTGAATTTACCACGATGAGCTAATTGACCTGATCTCATGCTCATTTTATCATCCTTCACTGGTGTCCCGCCAGCGTAAACCGTTTGCGCAGGTGGGTGCACCATTCCATTATCATCCATAAGCAAAAAAAAACACTTAACACAACATAATTAGACCAGACTAAGACTTAGACCAGACTAATAATTAGACTAGACTAAGAGACAAAATCAAAATTAGTAGATGTTATAAAAATACTCACGTCTCTGAACTGTGCTATTCCTGCTTCGCCCAGTTCGTACATGGACACATAAGCGGCCTCTGATTGTACGAACAGCTGGCATAGCACCATCTCCTCGCTCCTGAACAGATCCCCCATGGCGACTGCTTGTGATCTGTTAACAAAAGTATCATATATTAGATGTGCCCGCATTTTAACCTGCATGAAAATATCTTTATTCATGTAGGACTATCACAGACTCTTACCATATGTCAAATCTGTTAGATATTTTTTGCTTGTGTTATGGGTACTAGACGACTGATATCAATAATTAGATATTTTTTTGTAAATACATAGAGAATACCCAGTTTGTAAATGCTTATGAACACAAATGTTTGTGCGAGGCATAGAACCCGGAACCATCGGAAGTAAGGCTGTATGCTAAAGCGAGGCCGTCAATGAACGTGAAGATTATTGTGAATACTTACAATATTTTTTTTAAAAGAGTAACCTCCAAATTTATTTTTAGTTCTTCTAACGGTAGATTTTACCCACAAGAAATGCCCATAACGGATTTGCATGAATGAAAATTTGTATTAATCGATTGTATACGTTACTGTAACTGCTTGCATGAGATGGAACAAGATGACATAAGATGATTCGAAAGAAATTTAAAATGCCCAAATTTAAAACTCTTTCTGCAGACTTATTAAATTATACCCCAGATTAAGTAAGTAAAGGATTTAGTATACAGATTAACAAATACATTGCATATCCTGAGAGTAGGACAAAACATCCTGCGGTATAATATCTAATATTAGCCGTGTAGGACTCTAAATTCATAATGGAACGGACGCATCGTCATTGGCCTTGTGTAGATTGTCATTTTTACGACTGTCACCTGTGTTGTCAGATGACTGTCTGCTATTCCCCAAAATTTTATTTAAATTCCCAAAAAAAGAAGTCCTCATGCTGATTATTCTTTTTTCTGGTTGCATGTTTTTGTTTTTTATCCTTGAATCTGATACTTGTTTTCCTGCATGTCGATGGGCTTTTAAAAATGTGGACCACGTTTTTAAGACCTTTGAAGCCTAGGTCCAGGCTATATCGTTGTAGCCAGAAGGCACGTGTTCTTATGTTTTAGGCTGACATATCTGGCGTCCAGAAAACCCAAAATTAGAAGTTGATAACCTTTAATTTCATCTTTTCACAAATACACATTTGTTCCTTCAAATTTCCTTCCAAAGCCACAAAAACTCCCTAAATTTGGGGGAGAACACTGAATTTGCTATCACTGACTGTCGCTCTATTATTTTAACTTGAGATACGACATGCCAGTAGATCAGAATTGTTAAATGTTGCTATAGATTTTATACGGCAGCATTTTAGTGTGATATTAACTAGTTCGAAAAATTTTCAGCGGCTACGTGAGAATAAATTGAAATGTTAAATGTGTTTCTTTTTTCTTTGTTAATAAATCTTAAATTACAATAAGTGGAACCACTGCAATAAATAACCCTGGATACCACACAACGCCATCTAGTCCAAAATTAAGAAGAATTTGAATTCAGGGTACAAAAAGACTACCTAATTGTTTGTAGTCATGCTCACTAAAATGTCCAGACTTGTAGCGGCGTGGTGGGCCAGGTCATTGGGCTCCCTAAAATATGGTCGAGCGCAGTGATGTCTGGCTCATCCGTCATACTCGTGAACGGGTGCCGCTTGTGGGGACTGGTCTGCTCTAATCACTACGACTGATTTCCTCTTATTAATTGTTTAACCAGTTGGTTATATATTAAATATTTTTTCTATTTGAGTATTTAATTGAATTAGTGCTAATTGGTGGTTTGTATTCACACACTTAAACTTAAAAATGTAAAGAAATAATAACATTATTTAAAAGAGCAACACGCAAGTTTCTTGCTCGTTCTTCTTGTGATGAGACAGCTTTCCGAATGAGCGGTAGATTAAAAAAATGTAATGATTATTCAAAAGTGCTTCAATGTAAGTTTATTTGAATAAATGATTTTCTATTCTATTCTATTTATGAATATTTCTTAGATAGATACATGCAAATTATAAAAGAACACATGTATAGTTAGAATAAGGCGGCCTTATTGGTGTAAGCCGTTTTTTGTTGTGAGGTATACAATCCGCTGCTATCAAAAATTAAGGCAGTGCATACAATCGTATCTACATACATGTTTGCTCCACCATTTGTCAGGACCTTGAGCAATGTTACTGAACGTCGACCACTAAATAATTTAGTATATAAATTATTTCAATTTACTATTTAAGACCGCATATTTGAATTGTATAGAGATCAGTGGAAAAAGGATACTGCATCGACCCCAAATAATGGAATAAAGGCAAGGCAATGATGATTTTTGAATTGTAAACTATCTTGCTTATATTTTTTTAAATAGATGATAATGAAAGGGTGCTCCGCCTGCGCTTTACGGTTTACGCTGGCGGACCCATGTAGGATATGATACGATGAGCATGAGGCCAAGTCAGTTAGCCTATCGCGACAAATCATCCAGGAAATAATCATCGCGGTTTCCAGGGGGAACAACGACGATGTTCATGCCGCTCTTCGCTCTATAGGCGATGGTTGCCACCAGATAGGCGAATTGCTTGCTATTCCAATTACATAAAAAAAATAAAAATCCTTGTCGATGACGGCCTCGGTGGTGTAGCGGTTTAATACACCGTCTTACGCGATGGTCGCGGGTAAGGTTCCTCGCACGCCACAAACATTTGAATTCAAGAGTAAGATTGTTTGTGTCGGTCTGGATGTTTTCTGTATATTATGTATGTACTACAAAAAAAGTAACTATGTATACATCAATAGTCTACCCATTGCACAAGCTCTGCTTATCTTGAAACTTGTCCTAAAATATTTATATTACTTTGTTGGCCTCGGTTGTTGGACTCAGATGGCCCACCAGGTGGAAAGTTGTTACCGAGTTCTCTATTTTGTTTATGGTCTTTAATGTGTACAGAAGTGTCCTTAGAAAGAAGTAGTAAGACGTGTTTTTGATTTAATCACTTCTAGTTTGTGGAAGTAACATTTTAGTAAAAACATGTTTTATTATTTGGTTGTGTGTGCTAGGTATAAATACTTTAACCATATTAGGTATTTTGTATTAATTAGTAAAAATTGTGGATGTAACATATGGTTTGTTTTTATAGTATCTTTATTTTGGAAGCAGTCAGTGTATTTTTTATTTTAGACTGATTTAAATAAGGATCCCTGAATCAACATGTTATGCGATATCTTTGCTAATTGAGCTGATCTTTAAATTTAAAACACCTACAACTTTTAGTCATGTTTATAAACATAAATTCTTTACATTCTTAATCTACGAAATGTTAGAATACTGCCAATATATTCTAAATTCAAAATAACAAAATAGATAGCAATTACATTACAGACTAAACAATTACTGCGAAGACTATAATCGAATAAAAAATAAAATATATCTATAATATTTGAATTTCGAACACGTAATTCGTGCGGTATGAATGCGTTTAAGTGTCCCGGATGGATGAATTAGCTCGACCGACTCCCAGGCAGATTTGCAGCGAGACGATATACTAGGCATTGTATTTTTATACCTGGAAACTATCCAAATAGTACCCTTCGTGTTATCAAAAATATTGTTTCAATCCCATTGATTACAATGCCATCAAACTATGGTTCGACGCCGTGTTTATTTTTATAACTATCTCGATTTATTTTTGTCTGTTAGCATAGTGTAAATATTTGACTGGGTTATCGATTGTTGAGTTCATTATTCTTAATTGAATTTCATTCCAATTTTAAATATTTGAATTAAGAATTAATTAACAAATGACAAAGAAAGATGTAAAAGTAATATCATAAATGTGGAACGATGTACTTACTAGTTTAATTTAGATATTGATACATTTAACACAAGATTCACTTTTGAATTGTTCGCGAGTTTAAATGGGTGCATCACTAAATTAAATCGAGAATGCGAGCGCGCCACTCGGGGGCGCCGCGGTCACTGCGACGATACGATGCACGCACGGGCGTCGCGACTCGCGTGTTTTTATATACTTAAATAAAATTCGACTGTCCGTTTGTTTTTTAATAGATTAATATAATCTACTTCAATTATTCCATCTGCATAATACATACTACAGGAAACAAATTAATTAAGTAGCGTTCCAAATTCAAAATTCTTTATTTGAAATTGCCTAAACTATGGGCGCAGTGATGGCTGGCTCATCCGTCATACTCGTGAACGAGTCCTGCTTGTAGTGACTAGTCTGCTTTAACCACTACGACTGATTGAATCTTCTTGTGTATTTTAATATTTTGATAATACATGAATATATGGTGTACTGTATATATTTGTATTATAATCATTTCACATCATTACCTCTTTTCATGACAACTGGCCGCTTACAGACAAGACAGACACGTTCCATATTTTCACCTATAAAATATTCTCACGTCATCCGTCACTCACTACATACAACTATAATTGAAATAATATTTTCTAGTATCGATTTATATAATTTTCCTTAATATACATTTTATCATTTGCTGAGGGTCTATTTTATTTACATTATAATTACTACCGACCCCACATTGGTGACCTACCGACTGGAACAAATACAACATAATGGAACAACAAATCGGGTATGTACCAAACGATACTAACAATTCCGGAGCCGACACATTTCGAATTGGCGTGAAAGTACCACCTTTCTGGCCCGAAGAACCAGCCGTATGGTTCGCTCAATCGAAGGACAATTCATTATCAAACATCACGGCTACAACAAAATTTTATTGGTCAGTTATCCAGTACGCAGCCGAAGTGAAAGATATAATTGTTTCACCACCACCTACGGATAAATACGAAAAACTAAAATCCGAACTTATAAAACGACTTACCACATCAAAGGAGCGTAGAATTAAGCAATTATTGATGCACGAAGAGCTCGGAGACAGGAAGCCTTCACAATTCTTGCGTCACCTGAAAAGTCTCGCTGGACAAGCAGTAAGTGAAGATCTTTTGCGTACTATCTGGTCCAGTCGCTTACCCGCTAACCTTCAGGCTATCGTCGCTTTACAAAAGGATAGCACACTTGAAGCCACCGCCGACTTGGTTGATCATGTACATGATATCGCACCACCTACCATCGCACAGGTAACGCCAACCGTACCGGAATCCGCGTTCAACACCATGTGCCTGCGAGTAGAGGAGTTGACTAGCCAAGTACAAGCCTTAGTACTAAAGCAACAAGATCAGTCTCGTTCCAGATCGAGAGGCAGACCTTACTATGGTGGACATACTAATTCAAGATCCCGCTCCCGATCTAAATCACAAACCAACGATGTATGCTGGTATCATAGAACCTTCGGAGCTGCAGCAAGACGATGTACTACTCCCTGCACATATCGGAAAACTGCACAGGCAGCCAGTAGTGGCGGCAAATGACTGCCTAGTATGCAACGGCCGCCTCTTCGTCACTGACAGGAAAACCAAGGTCCAGTTCCTAGTAGACACAGGCTCTGACTTATGCTTATTCCCAAAATCAGCGACCAGAGGACCACGACCTAAAACCAGGTATGAATTGTTCGCAGCTAATAATACAGTCATAGCAACATATGGTTATCTCCAACTGCACCTTGATTTTGGCCTCAGAAGAGATTTCAATTGGAGATTCATCGTGGCCGACGTTACCAAGCCGATAATAGGAGTCGATTTTTAAGTCACTACAATTTATTAATCGACTGCCGTCATCGACTTTTCACCACTCTCTCCATTTCAACCCCTCATTGCCAAGATACATCACAGGAAACAATTACAATTAAAGCAGTTACAGGATTCACCATTTCACGATTTGCTGCGCCAGTATCCTGAAATCACACGACCTGCCGGTGCACTAACCCAACCGAAGCATAACACGCAACATCACATCCGAACCACTCCCGGACCTCCAGTTGCATCTCAGCCTCGCAGATTAATAGCTAAAAAAGAATTTGAAGATATGTTACAGAATGGAACTGCACGGCGATCCGAGAGTTCCTGGTCATCACCTCTTCATCTTGCACCCAAAAAAGATGATGGCTGGCGTCCTTGCGGAGATTATAGAGCACTCAACGCACGGACGATACCTGACAGGTATCCAATCAGACACCTCCAGGACTTCAGTTACCACATATCAGGTTCGCAAATACTGTCAAAAATTGACTTAATAAAAGCCTACAACCAAATTCCCGTAAATGAAGCCGATATTCCAAAGACCGCCATCACCACACCCTTCGGGTTATTCGAATTCCCGTTTATGACTTTCGGCTTAAGAAATGCAGCCCAAACATTTCAACGATTTATCGATGAAGTGCTACAGGGACTCGAATTTGTATTCGTATTTGGACGACATTCTTATCTTCTCCAGAAGTCAGGAAGAGCATCTTCAACACCTTAGAATCCTGTTCGAAAGATTCAAAGCTTACGGCGTATTAATCAATACAGGAAAGTGCGTCTGGGGCGTTAGTGAGCTAACATTTTTAGGATACCACGTTTCCATATACGGTACTCGCCCACTTCCAGAGAAGATCACAGCAATTCAAAGTTATCCACTACCTAAAACCGCCAAGGAATTGAGGAGATTCCTAGGAATGCTGAATTACTACAGACGATTTATTCCTAATGCAGCACAAATACAAGGAGACCTCAATTCAAAACTCGCAGGAAACATCAAAGGTTCAACTCCTATCAATGTCACCGAAGACTACGAAGCCGCATTCAACAAATGTAAGTCCAAGGCTACGCTCTTGTCACATCCAGATGTTCAAGCCGAATTAGCCTTATTTACTGATGCATCTGATGAAGCTATTGGCGCCGTTCTTCAGCAAAGACAGAACGATATATGGTCTCCATTGGGATTCTTTTCAGAGATCTTCATTCCTTACGATCGTGAACTTCTAGCCATATATGAAGGAATAAAATACACGATTCATGCTAGAGGCTCGAATTTCGTCATATTTACTGATCACAAACCCATTACCTTTGCATTCAAAACAAAACGAGATAAATGCTCACCTCGTCAATTCAGATATTTAGACTTCATATCCCAATTTACAACAGATTTACGTCACATTGCTGGTAGCGACAACGTTGTGGCCGATGCACTTTCTCGCATAGAAGAAATCGGGCATGAGATAAATTATGATGATCTCGCACGCGATCAGGCTCAAGACCCTGAACTGCAAGATCTTCTCAGAAAAGGATCAGCACTAGATTTAAGACAGACCGATGAGAATGTATACTGTGACCACTCAACGGCATATCCTCGACCATACTTGACACTATCCGTCGAAAGCATTCGAGAACATGCACAATTTAAGTCACCCCGGAGCAGCAATGCCAAACTAATTGCACAGAAATATGTATGGCCTGGTATACGACGTGACTGCAAATCATTGCACAGATTGCCAACGCAGCAAAGTCACACGTCATTCATTCTCAACTACATTTCCCATACCATCCGAACGCTTTTCTCATGTTCATCTCGACATAATTGGCCCTTTGCCACATTCTTCTGGTTACAGGTACTGCACCGCCATCGAGTTTAAAGCTTACCCACTGGTGGACATCATAAAGCGCCTTCATTTCCGGCTGGATTGCCCGCTTGTGACCGCACTCCATAACCACGGACAGGGGGCAACAGTTTCAGTCAATTTCACAACTCGGTATAACTGCTTATCATCCGCAGTAACGGCATAGTAATAGTCAAGGCAGCGATTATGTGCCACAATAAACAGTGGACCGAAGTACTGCCACTGGTTTTATTGGGTATCCGCAGCGCCTGGAAGGAAGACCTGAAATCTTCAGCAGCTGAACTTGTCTACGGCGAGACACTCCGAAGTTCTTCACTCCAGCTGCTAACACCACATCCGATCCCACGGATTTCGTCGCTCGCTTGCGCAGACATATGGCCAAGCTTACACCAACTTCGTGTCACAGTATTTTGCCTTCCAAAAGATCTCTCCAGTGCAGAATATGTATTCTTACGCAGAGGTCTATCAAGAAAGCTTCGAACCACCCTATACGGGGCCGCATAGAGTTATCTCAAGAGAAGCTAAGACGTACAAGATCGACGTTCAAGGCAAGGACCTTACCGTCACCATAGATCGGTTGAAACCAGCTTATATGGCACGCAGCGACAACGACTCCAGTCCGCACTCTACGTCAACGCAACAGCGATCACAACCCGCACCTGAGAGACCACGTACTACACGCAGCGGCAGGACAGTTTATCGTGACACGGTCTCGGCAAGGGAGTGAGGTGTACTGTATATATTTGTATTATAATCATTTCACATCATTACCTCTTTTCATGACAACTGGCCGCTTACAGACAAGACAGACACGTTCCATATTTTCACCTATAAAATATTCTCACGTCATCCGTCACTCGCTACATACAACTATAATTGAAATAATATTTTCTAGTATCGATTTATATAATTTTCCTTAATATACATTTTATCATTTGCTGAGGGTCTATTTTATTTACATTATAATTACTACCGACCCCACAAATACATGAATGCTAGTTGTTAGTTTGAATTCACGCATTTTGAGATAAAAATTTAAAGTGCTTAAATTAAGTTCATTTTTATAAAGGATTTTCTATTCTATTCTAATCTTGGTAATCTCCCTTTACTAAATTGTATATGTTTTTGACACCTACATCCTGACATCATATGTATATAATGCTATAATGGTGAGGTGTTAAACATCGCGGTACAGGAATTAAAAAGATATAAAGTTTGCATATACTCTAGTCTCATCTATTTCAGCCACCAAGCTTGATATAACCTATGTTTCGGTTTTAGGGTCAGATTAGGCAGTGAAATTGCAGGACAAGAGGTAAAAAAAAATGTAGGTATGTAAGGTACATATTTTGATATATCTCGCTTTCGAATAAAAAATCGCGCGTTTTTTTACTAAAATGGTTTGATTAAAAGGAATCTGAC